ACAATTTAAAAATAATGAACATCACCAGAGAAATAATTTTAAAGCTAAGATTGCTTATGAAACTTCAGGCAGGAATATGACGCGTTATAAACATTCCATAAGAAGTTACTGCATTTAGCCTAGGGACATTTACAAATGTGTCATAAGCAACTGGAAAATATATACATGTTAAGTACAAAAAAATCATCCAGTAAAATAGTTGAACTCGCCTGGGTTATTTTTGAAAATTAGATTATTCAATGAACAACATATATAACGCCATTCGTGAGGAGTAGTAATGATCCAAAAGCATCCAGAATAAAACATGCAGTATGGCAATCACTTCCAGGGTGCTTGATGCCGTTGACGTTTTTGTCACTCGCTCGGATCAGAACAATGGAATGAATCCAGATAATTGTGTGGTTGCCATTGAGTGAGTCATCCAAAATGATTGCAGAGAACTTATAGCTGAAACTCACCGTATGTTTTTGGAGTAGTGTCCCTGTTGTTTGACAATGGAACTCGAGAATATGAAATTAGGCAGGCAGTGGTCGGAAGAAAAGATATTACAGGATAGTGCATAGTTTAAAAACAGGATGAGGTGTTAAGTGAAGGAACACTAAGAATTAGATCCAGATAACTATCTAGTCCTTGATAGCATTGTTAGTCGATGTATATTCACGTTATTTTTAGATAGAGCTAGATGTTTAAACAAGTTTATTCCGCAGAAGCATGTAAATGCTATTAAAGCTTGTTAATGAACCATCAAAGCTAATTGATATAGATAACCGGTTATTGGTATCGATTGAGTTAGTATGTTATGAGTAATAATCAATATAACATTACGATAATACATGTGAGCATTAATCAGAGGACTATTAGAATACTGGGTTAACATAAATATAAAATCGATCGAGAAGGTTAAAGTGGAAATAAGAATTATTGGTAATAGGTTGCGTTTCTTTAGTCGGGCTTACCAATGTAGGATTATGGTCTACTATGATATTAGTACTGCTCTAATAATAGACCTAATCCTAAAATTGTAGATTTGTCATGATATAACTGCCTAATCTATAAGATCTTACGTGGAAGTCACATCATCGTCTACACCAACTCACTGTATCGTATCAATTACCAATACATGATGTAGAACAAGGTTAGGCTGGAGAAAGAACAATATATTTAATATGAATAAAAGATATAAGGTAATATTCAGAGGGACCACGCCTGCATGGCTGAACCATGCCATCCGATTAACTTCAATTCATTCAATTCCTTGTTCGCGCATTCAACATCGTTAGGTATTTCTCCGCGTTAAATATTGAATATCTATTTTCCGAGTAGTCTCGTGTTCAACTTTGAGGATTGTGTGATTATGGTCCAATGCCACTGCACTACTCTCCCACCAGAATCAACGTGATGTTGGTTCGATACCGAATTCGATGGGATTGTCGTGCGCTGAAGGTTACCAAGACTAGTAAGAATCCTCCGGGTAATGATAAGTTGAAAGATAAATCAAAAAGAAGGCGGCAGCATCTGGTCGGGAAATATTTGTAATAATTTTAAAATACCTGCCTTCATGCTTAACACGCTTAAAATGAAAATTTTGGTGAAGAGGATGATCTGGAAATCACTACTTTAAGATCAGTTATTCGATATTTCTGAACTTTCGTCAGTAAGCGAGCTGTTAGTTTAGAGTGTTCCATTAGTGATGAGAAATGGGCGTGAGAAACCATGTCTTTTCGTTATCTCCGCCTATGCCCCGACAGATTGCAGATCGGATGCAATCAAGGATGAATTAACTGTTCTCCAGTAAGTGCATTCGACATACATCGTAGTACTAGCCGGAGACTTGAATGCTCAGATCGGGCGTCTAGGCACAGAAGATAGTCGTTTAGGTGGCCGACGGGTACTTGTTGGTCGTAGGTCAGATAACGCGGACCGTCTACTGCAAACGTGCGCAAACTACAACCTGTTTCTAGCTAGCACTCACTTCCGGTACAGTCATCACTTATGTGCCGTCTGGCGTGCTCCCTCTGTATCTCAAGCCTGAACTCAGATTCATCACATCGTGGTGATCAACCGCTGAATATGTTCGCATTCCTGAAGAATATGCATCAACGTTTCTGCCTTACTGTATTACATTTACAACTTGAATCACCATTACCTTTTCTGCCCATTGACCCTCTTGCCTTCCTTTTTAGGGTACGACCCCTAAGTCGTATCGCGTGCGATTATGTGCTCAGACCGGAGACTTCAAGGCCACCACCATCTAGGGTGCCGTACAGTCGAGTTCTCCACGCATCTTACAAGTCATTAGGCTTTAATATCACCTGTCCGCCTAGAGTCATACCACCGATAATCTTGACTTCGTATTGCTTGTATGCCTCCTACTGCCGGATGGCCTGTAGTAATGCACAATTCAGCGAATTTAAAACCTTTAGTCTTTGGGACCGTCTGATTTCTGCCAGCGGATATAAGGATTTAATTTGGATAGTATGTGAGGAAGGGTTTTGCACACTGTCCTACTCACTCTTCAAAACAAACTATGATAATAACAAATATACGCCCTGAACGCGTCGGCCATAACAATGGACCCAGGGCGATGTCGGTTGAACAGATATGCCCAAAGATCGTTCCCGTACACGACCAAAGCTCCACAGGAGCGGGCCTTGCCAAGGGAGCCCGCGGAGCCCAGTATGTCGCGAGTTAAGCATATTAATCGGCGACTATTACAGGAAACAATCAGCTCGAACATGAAAAGAGGGGCACTTAGAGTCCTCTCTGGTACCTGGAAGTCAACATGTAAAGGGAAGCCACTCCTGCCGAATGACTTCAATGCATACTGGAGAGACTCATTCTCAAGTGGGGGCGTTACTGACGACCGTCCGGTAACGTCAAGGTTGCCCCGCACATGGTCCCTGGTTGAACCTATCACCTCAATCAAGGTACACGCTGCGCTAAAAAGCACGGGTAAGTCTGCGCCCGGACCCGATGGAATAAGTCCTCGGGTAACGAACAAGCGTAAACCTGAACGCACAACGGTGCTCTTCAATCTGATGCTAGTGCTTGAAATGGTGCCGGATCACTTAAATCTTGCGTGTGTCGTATTTATCCCGAAAAGCGGGGCCCCCCAGAGTTCTAAGTGTGTACTGGGACGACGCCCTCAAAGTATCCATCTCGTTTTAGAAGCGCCAATTGAGAGTGAAGGTCCGGTATCGCGGTATGCTATCGTCTCGTAATGCCGCTATGCAGGCATCTTACAGCTACTGACGTAGTTGATACCGACCTAAAATCCCCCGAACCCTGGAGTTTCGATTTTCGTGGTTAATACTACACATGCAAGATTTAAGTGATCCGGGACCATTTCAAGCACTAGCATCAGATTGAAGAGCACCGTTGTGCGTTCAGGTTTACGCATGTTCATTAACTGAGGACTTACTCCATCGAGTCCGGGTGCAGACCTAAATATCAAAGCGTCCAGTAAGAAATCTTATCTTAGTCGTGAGGTTATTGTCAATTATGAACAATCAGTTGTGGTATATCGACTTATTTCACCGTTGTAGTTATTGATTTTGTTATTGTTATTATTCTACCTGTAGAAATTTCAACTATCGTTTCCGCCCCAAATATGTTAGTATGTTGAATACCTTCTTATGTTTGAATTCTATGGACTCTTATGTCGCTTTGTTTATTCCAGATATTTGAATGTGGATAAGCCTATGTAGCTCTTAGTCGGTGTCGTAATTTAAATGGTTTATACTTACTCAGTTGGCGCCCTGAAGTGATATGTCCAGATCCTAATGTGATAAAATTTTATGCCAAAGTTAGAGAGACCAATAATGAAATTAAAAACAAGATTATACGATAATATTTTTACAATTTTCTTTATCCAATTTTTTAAAAAAGAAACTATCCTCCTAAATCGATCCATTTTAATCATTTTTATGTGAATGAAATGAATATTTACAAATGAGTAAATTTGAGGTTAAGTTAGACGAATCTTATCTAATTTCGGTAACTAAGTTGATTACAGTATATAGTAATGAACATCGACTTATTTATCACTGAACACAAAAAATATTTACTGGGTGGAAACATGGAAAATATGATAACGAATATGACTTTAATATATTCGGAATTATGATGACTCTTGAATGATCTGTGAATCACTACTTTAAGATCAATTGTTCGATATTTCTTAACTTTCATCAGTAAGCGAGCGGTTTCTCTTTCAAATATTTTACAAATTATGTTTTTACTTACGCCTGTTACGTAGAAAAGCACAGGCCACTGACTACCATTCTCTATCCAACTCTATCCTGGGCAATCCATTCCAGTAGAGGAAATAGAAATCCTAGCTGAATGTTCACCGGTTCAGAAATGGATAGGCAACCAACGGGATAAGTGGCTTGTGGGAGCCTTTTTGGTGTCTGGACTGGACCAGGTGTTCGGCTAGGCCAATTAGGTCTGGTGTTATGGCAGAGCGACAACCATAAACCGTGCTCAGGATTTGGGGGTACGGGGGTCGACACGATACCTAATTGTGGCATGAGCGTGAGGATACTAAATTGTTTGTAGACGACTTAATGTTTCGTCGGGGAGACGTAAGTGCTCGAGCAGCTTTCACATTGCGAGGCATTGAATCCTATCCCTGCTTGACGTAATGATTTGAGGATATGTTCTTCTATCATTTCCCGTATGGTACTAGACTTCGATCTGCTCTAACTTGCGTCTGAAATTGATTGGTGAATAGTGATATTTTATACACTATCCTGGTATAATTACTATGATTTATCAAATCTTTCATTTTTTCTTCATTACTTTTTAATTGCAAAGTGCCAATTTCATTATCACTAGTAACAGAAGATACTCCGTTGAGAGTTTTAGAGTAACAACAATGTTGGAAACAAAAGATTGTGAGTTAATCGGTTGAGAACGTACGTATTCTGCAAACATGGACGCCAACTACTTTGAACTAAATTATTTATTACGAAAATAAAACATTTTAGTCCGTCACACTATTGCAAAATACGAACTTTTGACAGAGCTAATTCTGCATATTCCAATGTTATCCCCTGACTTTTACGGATGCATATTGCCCAAGCCAGAGTTAGTGGTAATTGACGTCGACTTGCGATTTCTTTGGCATCAATCCCACGAATCGTCCACTTTTCAATTTGCACAACATGTAAGATGCCATTAGATCCATTCGCTTTTGCGGGATAAAATCGAACTTCAGGAAGACCAGTATCACTGTTTATCTTTCCTACTATGCCTCGTGCTCCGTTGACAAGTTCACGGCTAGTATCCAAGTTTCTTAGTAGCATTACCTGAAGTTTTATATTTACAACAGGCTGTTAAAAGAATAAACCGATTCATGCAATTTTGGACAATATGCCAAGTATAAATTTAGATCTAGTTCTTAATTGTACTTTTACTGCTTTTTGGTTGTTAAAAGTGTGAGGGGTGTAAAGCAAGTTTAAAAGTGTCAAACTTTGAGCGTTGGTAGAATTCGCTTCACGACATAATGCTCATAAGAATGAGAATTTATATTCAACCCTGACGCATACTTTTATGTGAACGCACATATCACTGATTCAAAACTTTCTAAATGGTATGCACAACACAATACAGAATGAGATAAACTGCGATAAATAAACGTGTTCTTACTTGAGCATCAACTTTTAAATTCAGTACAAAAGGAGCTGGGCAAGATGAATCTACTGTAGTTGAAATACCTTTTCCAACTCCCTTGTCTTGAGATCGATAAACTTTACATGAGCCTATTTGAATAAGTGAACAAGGAAATAAGAAAATTCGTAAATAAATTTCATGGAAACTGTGACGTTTAACGTTATACTAACACTAACTGATTTGGTATTACATATAAAAATATGTTCATTTACATCACCTAGGTAAAACCTCTGGAGTGTATTAGAAAGTACTTTTGATTCAGAACGTATTTTAAATGGGTAGATGTTGGAATTTCTGGAGTTGAAATTCTCAAATGTATGATGTTAACATTAAAAGGCGTTGTCTAACAATTCCTTGAATTTTACCACATTGTTTTTCTATCGCATAAGATCTACTTTTAAGTTTATCCACCCCTCAGCCCACTTTGTTTCAAGACTGACATTAGTATAACGTTAAACATCACAGTTTCCATGAAATTTATTTACGAATTTTCTTATTTCCTTGTTCACTTATTCAAATAGGCTCATGTAAAGTTTATCGATCTCAAGACAAGGGAGTTGGAAAAGGTATTTCAACTACAGTAGATTCATCTTGCCCAGCTCCTTTTGTACTGAATTTAAAAGTTGATGCTCAAGTAAGAACACGTTTATTTATCGCAGTTTATCTCATTCTGTATTGTGTTGTGCATACCATTTAGAAAGTTTTGAATCAGTGATATGTGCGTTCACATAAAAGTATGCGTCAGGGTTGAATATAAATTCTCATTCTTATGAGCATTATGTCGTGAAGCGAATTCTACCAACGCTCAAAGTTTGACACTTTTAAACTTGCTTTACACCCCTCACACTTTTAACAACCAAAAAGCAGTAAAAGTACAATTAAGAACTAGATCTAAATTTATACTTGGCATATTGTCCAAAATTGCATGAATCGGTTTATTCTTTTAACAGCCTGTTGTAAATATAAAACTTCAGGTAATGCTACTAAGAAACTTGGATACTAGCCGTGAACTTGTCAACGGAGCACGAGGCATAGTAGGAAAGATAAACAGTGATACTGGTCTTCCTGAAGTTCGATTTTATCCCGCAAAAGCGAATGGATCTAATGGCATCTTACATGTTGTGCAAATTGAAAAGTGGACGATTCGTGGGATTGATGCCAAAGAAATCGCAAGTCGACGTCAATTACCACTAACTCTGGCTTGGGCAATATGCATCCGTAAAAGTCAGGGGATAACATTGGAATATGCAGAATTAGCTCTGTCAAAAGTTCGTATTTTGCAATAGTGTGACGGACTAAAATGTTTTATTTTCGTAATAAATAATTTAGTTCAAAGTAGTTGGCGTCCATGTTTGCAGAATACGTACGTTCTCAACCGATTAACTCACAATCTTTTGTTTCCAACATTGTTGTTACTCTAAAACTCTCAACGGAGTATCTTCTGTTACTAGTGATAATGAAATTGGCACTTTGCAATTAAAAAGTAATGAAGAAAAAAATGAAAGATTTGATAAATCATAGTAATTATACCAGGATAGTGTATAAAATATCACTATTCACCAATCAATTTCATACACAAGGTAGCTCAATCCAATAATATCCTTTAGCGCGAGCAACGTGTCAATTCCTAAACAACAACAATAATAAACCAAAATGATAACCTACCTCCAGGAACCATTGAAAACAAACAATTAGAGAAGTTACCATGTTTCTCCATCTTGGCAGAATATTAAACAACGAAGGATCGGCAGACAAATTGATCACACAAAATATAGCCAAATCAAAGAATGCTCTACTCAGAATATTATCTACCCTATAAAGTAAAGAACAATCTGTCAAGCAAAATAATGATAATCAATACATTAATAATTCCTCATCTTACAGTCTAGAATTCATAGTCCTAAGAAAATAAAACTGGTCGAGACTAGAAGCCGTCCTCAACACAACACGACATATAATCCTAAACATCAATGACAGAAAGGAACTTGACATAGAACAACTGCATGAAAAAATACAACTCCCAAACATTGCAACGAAAATAATGCAAAATCGACCTAACTTATGGTATACGGCAAACAAAAGATCAGATAACTTGATGACCAAAACCTTAACAAGTCACATAGCGAACTCATCAAAACACCGAATTGCACACACAAAAAATTGGACCAGACAATTAACTCAGGACGTTAATGAAATGAAAGACAAGCTACCTACGAATTGGCAGAAGCATCCAACGAAAGTAAAAATTGAATCTACAAACACACATCAGCCCAAAATAATCGGTCAAAGACAACTTACTCATGTCAGGACATAAACTACAATCGAATGTTGGCCACAAAAAAAATGAGTTGACACTTTAAAAATCATCATAATACATCCACTCCAAATCTCACTACAACAAATTTACAGTGCCCCCTAACAGATTGCAATAAAACATACAAAACAATCGGTTGACTAAATAGACATACCAAATCATGCGACCCTCAATACTCTCAACATCAAACAACAAAACACACACGCACCAGACGAATAACACACAACCATGCCTATATATATATATATATATATATATATATATATCCTTGTTTTAGGACTGCCTCAATCACTGTTATCACCCACTAAGACTTGGAGGTCACGTAAAAACTGTGACGGCGACCTACCACCCAGTGGTTCTCCTTGGAAAAGCCTTTGGATTCTATGACTGTCTGATAATGATAAACGGCTCATTATCCCTCGTCTTAAGATGGTATATGGTTGTAGTGATAGTGGACTTAAAATCAAGTCACGGACTTCTTTGGCGACTGAAGTAGGAACGATAGAACACAAATCTCTATAGCGAATTCCTTCAGCTTTAACATTGTGTCTCGTGAAATAATGCTCTAGTTGAGCTGACCACAACTCAGGATCACTACGATCAAATTCTGGAAGTAGGGATTTCGTAACCATAACAGTGTCTATCTCCACTGGTGACAAATCACCCAGGTTTTTGGTTTGTATTGAGTCTGACATGAGGAATGTGACCAATATAGTGATGGAATTAGCATGGAAAATGGTTACTAAAACACGAATAGCTTAAGATAAAAAAAAGAACTATGTATATACCCAACTTAGCCTGAGCTGCCAACTTTGGGGGAAATTTGGCCCATTTTGGGGAAGCCGCTATAGTAAATTTTGGAGAAATGAGACCCAAACCCCAAAACTTTGGGGAAGGTATTTCACTTTGGGGATTTTCCCAAAATTCCCAAAACTTTGGGGAAGGCTATTTCACTTTGGAGATTTCCCCAAAGTTGCCAGCTCGGGCCCGGAGTTCACGGATAATCAGGTCTATTTTTACAACTAAGTCAAAAAAATAATACTAATAACAAAAATGAGGTTAAATTTTTGTTCAATAGGGCTCACCAGTTTCGTGCATCTAGGTAACCCTCGTGCTATTGACAGAAGAAATCAGACAAGTAGTGGATAGGTCTGTAGCACGTACTATTAGCGTTGATCTGCGAGCAGGAGCGATCTAAAACACCACACAACAGTCAGAACCGACAGATGGTGCTCAAGTGAGAACACGGCGTACGAGCCCAACATAGATATATTTAAAAAAATTGAATTACGCGGTTTAAGTACAAAAACGGGGAGTCTATTACAAAATGGTTTTACTCATTATCTCGCAGGTTTAACTTGCGTAAGGCTTGTTCTTCTTCTTCTAGTACGTTCACTTTCTGTTGCCCTGAAACAAGGAAAACAAACTTGCATTGGTAAAGTCACACGTAATGGTTTTTGATACTGCTACAGGTCTTTATTTAGATCCTCGCGCAGTCACAGTGGAGAGTGGGATTATTTGTTCAGACAAACAAAGCCTCTCAACAATCATTATAAGATAATAGGAAATATAACGCTTATACAAAATTAGAAAGTGAATGAATACTTGAACTATACTGTTTTTGGCATATGCTTGCTTGTTTGAGGTCAACTTCTAACCAACCAACCTAAGCTGTTACAGGCCTAATAAGTCGATAGGCACATGGGCGAAACGTGTATGTGGTTGTGGTAACATGCCGATGGGTGAAATTGTGTGACGATGAATATGCCGAACACTAGCCAACCCATTTGTGTACATCATTTTGTAAATTTGGCCATATAAATCTGGCATTGATTAGTTTAGTCGAAGCTTGAGACAAAGAGTGAAAGCTAATAAACAGTGTTCTTCTCATACTTTTGGAGGGGGTAAGGTCGTGACATTACCTTGGCCGTATCACAGCAAATCAGAATACCATCAATAAGCTATGGTAACTGCCTTAGTTTGATAAAAGAGTTGTTTGTTGTACGTAGGTTTCGTAATTCTTGACCTTTTGTTTGTCTCCAAAAGTCTCGAACTTTACTATAGACTGTAATATCACGTTCATTTCTAGTCAAGATAATACATCTGCTGCCTAGTTTTCCTGACCTTCCGCATGTCGGATATCACTTATGGACTGTGATATATCGTAAAGGGTGAGTATTTATCGGGTCAGCGGTTTGTGATCCGTAAAAATTATGAAGTACCTACCTTCCAACATGTCTCAGAAACGGTTAATGGTTAGGTAGATTAGATAAGGAACTATTTCAAAATAGATGCAACAACACGTTGTACACAAAAAGATGCAGTAAGGATGATAAGTTACTGAAAAATGGTGAGTGATTGTCAAACTAAACAGATGAACGTAAATGGACTTTCGAGAAATGGCGAAAAGCTGGATTTGGATTGTGAAAAGCTGAGTTGTAGCCCAGGTTGAACTTGGTTAGGAAACTAGGTAGAAGTAGATGTAGCAGCAAGTTGTACACGAGAAGACGCACAAAGGATGACAGATTACTAGAAAAGTAGTGGGCGATCATCAAAATAAACAGATAAATGTAAATAAACAAAGAATTACCGAGAAGCCTGCCCTCCTCAAGGAACCTTCTAGCTTCGACATTACCCTATCATGCCGAGCGATACGCAGTCGCTGAATAAGTTTGCATTCCTGAAGGATATGCATCAACGATTCTGCATTCACGCAATTACATTTACAGTTTAGGTCACCATTACTTCTTCCGCACCTTGATCCTCTTACCTTTGTTTTTAGGGTATGACCCCTCAGTTGTATCGCCTTACGATGCATCCAAGAAAACATACCTTCCGGGGACGTGACCATATGTGAGATGATGTGCTTAGGTCGGAGACTTTAAGGCCGCCACCATCTAGCGTACCATACAATCGCGTTTTCAACGCATCATAGAAGTCATCAGGTTTTGATATCACGTGCGCGCCATAAGTCACACCACCGATAAACTTGACTTCGTGTTGCTTGTATGCCTTCGACTGCCGGATGGACTGCGGTAAAGCACAATCCCTTGAAAGGAATAATTTAATTCGACAGGACCGTCCTACCACCAGCGGATATAGGGGCTCTTAGTTGTCTCGTTTTCAGCTTTGAGGATTGTGTGGTTAGGGACCGACGCCACTAGAGGTCTAACAGCATATACCGTGGTTTACTATCTAGTTAAACCAGTTTTAGTCTATCACGAAATATTTAGATTTCTTTGAGATAACGTTGAAAGGACCTTCGAAGGGGAGCTAAGCAGTGCTTTAATTTCATCACACCTTATCGAAACTTGCGTGCGATTGGTTAGATCCCTAGATACGAATGTGGCTCGCGATTGTTCACGAGTAGTAATTCGTTTGAGTTTGGACATATGTACACGTAGTTGATCTACGTAATTTCCTGTTGGCGATGTTAGATCCCCAGGACACATTTGATAAATACCTTATTTTTGTAACTTTATTCTAAAATTTTGAATTTATTGCTTTTGCACGAAAAGCGCACATTTTTACCTTCATGTCGTATTTCCCAATTGCGAGAATCTTAAACGCTATCGGTTAGTTTTGTCCTCTATTGTGCTGCTTTGTAACGCTTCCCAAAGGACAATTTTGTGCTGTGTATATACGTTTGATTTGTGCTTCTGGCCGCTTTCAGAATATATTCCCGCATTTCGAACCTGGACTTCTCTCCCTTGTTAGCGGGGCTAGGATGCATCAGAATAACTAGCTTATTGATCAATACTCACAAAGTCTTTGTTTTGTTCTCAGCCTAGGTCAACTCGTGATCCTTTCAAACAATCAGGCTTTTTATGTCAGTATGAGTGTTAATAAAATCACTCGGTAGTCTCAAATTCGTCCCGCTGCCGAACATTAAGAGTTATTTTTGACATCTGTTCGTATTCCCAACATAAATAATGGCGGGGATTCCGTCCACTGATTAGGTTTTGAGGGCGACATAAGAGCAGCCTTTAGTTGGCGGTGAAACGCTCTACATTTTCATTAGTCTAAGGGTGTTATGCGGTGCAACGTATTCTACTGGAGCATAGAAGTTGGGGTATTTTCTGACTGTGTTCACTTCTTCTTTGATAGGAGTAATCTGAGTTTTTTGTGTGCCCGAGAAATTCTAGAGTTCGAACACCGAAAACACACTTTGATGTATCTTCATTCCGTTTTCAACCAGTCGTTTTAACACTGCTCTCACATGGTCTTCGTGT